TTATTTATTTATTTATTTATTAAATTTATATACCGCCCTATCTCCCTTACGGGACTCAGGGCGGTGAACAGGCGATACTAAAAACCACGATAATAAATAAATAGTTTCTGTTCTAAAATCGAATTAAATAACAGGCCTGTTCTAAAAACACACCCATACAAAAACCCCCACTGAAACATAATCAAACTACGCCAGGCCGTAGTTTGGTGGGAGAACAAAATGGAGGGTGGGAGAACACTGTAGCATTGCAACACTTGATTGGTGAGCAGGAGCAGAAATGGGATAAACGCATGTTTTGCATGCTGAAGCACAAAAGAGGATTCTTGTATTCATCAAGGCTCAGGATGACTGAAACATAATAGCAATGGACTTCTCTCCTTTACTTCCCTAGTGTCCTCACCACTTGCCCTGCCCTCGCTTGTTACGGGATAATCCTTTGCCATGCAACTTCCTCCAGCAATATGATACCCTACCTTTGTCTTGGGTAAGTCTGCCTGCCGCCTGCTTGTCGTCCCTTGAGAAGAGATGGGGTGATAAACCTGTGTGCTTAATGCGTCTTGCCCCCCCCCCCCTGGATACTACAAAAGGGTCTGAGCAGATCGGATCAAGTCTGTGTGTTCTAAAATCGAATCTGGGTTGGTCACCGAGACTAGAGGTCGTCCCGGGACCCAACCAGATTTGACCTTGCAACATTATCCTGGGCCATGTATGTTTGCTTTTATTCTGTGTGTTCTCTCCACTTTTTTTGCATTGTGCTTCTAGCATCTGTACGTAACTGAGGGGACCCATCTGCAGATAGTCCTCCACTTATGACTAGTTGGATAGTCACTGTCCAAAGTTATGACAGACCTCCCCAGAGCTACTTAAGACCCGAAGTTTTGACTTTCTCTTCCTGCCATGGTCACATGATCACATTTTAGGCTCTTGGCAGCCAGCCCATGTTTATGACCGTGACCACTTTTATGATGTTTTTTTGCTGGAAAATCACTGTTTACTTCCAGTTTCTAGCAGAAAACACCTATTGGGTACAATGTGTTTGCGTAATGACCACAGTGTTCACTTAACGTCTGATACAAAAAAGATTGTAAAGTCGGGCCCGGTCACATAGTAACCTATTTAATATCAGCACGATGTAAGGTCATAATTCTGGGCTGAATTACAGATGTAATTCGAGGACTACCTGTACATAAATGTTTGCAGCACTTCAGAATACAGCAGTCCCAATAAATACTTGATATTAGGACTTATTCATGTAATGTGGATTAGGTGCAGCCACCAGTTAATCCCCAAATTGTAGTTTACTTACAAAGAGGTAAGAATATGAGATATGTGGGAAATAGTAGTGTTAGCTGTATTTTTATGTAATTTAAACCACAGTTAGTTTTTGTTCTGGTCCTTCCCACTTTGGTTTACAACTCTCTTACTGGAAAACAATTTTAAGATTATACGAAGCCTGGAAAAAGGTAGCATGTTCCTGTTTGAATGGACAGGCTGGATTTTCAGAAAATACAGAATTAGGGAGTTGTAAAAGTTTGTGGTTCAGAGTATTGTGGAAAACCAAGGCCAGGTGTTACCACATTGGATGAACCATGTGAAGTCATAATATACCTTACAGGTAGTTCTCGACTTAACAATAGTTCGTTTTTAGTGACAATTCGAAGTTACAACGGCAGTGAAAAAAAGTGACTTACGGCCATTTTTCACACTCATGACCACTGCACCATCTTGGTGCCCAGGTGATTTATATTTGGATGCTTGACAGCTGACTCACATTTATGACGGTTACAATGTCCCTTTGCACCCTTCTGACAAGCAAAGTCAACGGGGAAACCAGATTCACTTAACAACCGGGTTACTAACTTAACAACTGCAGTGATTCAGTTAACAAATGTGACAAGAAGGTTCATAAAACAGGGCAAAACTCACTTAGCAAATTTCTCACTTAGCAACATAAATTTTGGGCTACATTGGGATCATACGTCGAGGACTGCCGGTATTTGTTTTGGATTGGATGTTGTCTGAATAGAGCTTTGGATTTTGTGTTCGGATTAGGGTTTAGTGGGGGCACGAAAGCACAACCTCTGGGTAAGCAAGTGTGATTCTGTGCAACAAGGAAAGCAATTCAAGCATAGGGAAAGTGAATGAAAGACACTGCCAACAAAAACTCAAAATATGTAAAGCCTGAAGTGAAATCGGTGGTTATTCCTGACATGCATAAAGATTTGGAAACAATTGTCCTGTTCTGGAATACAGGTAGTCCTCAGTTAACTAGTGTAATCGGGACTGGGAACTCCCATCACTAAGCGACACAGTTGTATCAAAAAAAAATTTTTTAAATAATCATGTGATCACAACTTAGAGTGGCAATTCTGGTTGTGGTTGTTACTCAAATCAAGGGCAGTCATGAAGCATGGTGTGACCTGACTGGCAACTTTTACTTCTTGCCAGTTTCCTTATTGACTTTGCTTGTCAGAAGCCATCAGTGAAGGTCCCAAATGGCAGTGACATGACCACGAGACACTGCAGCTGTTGTTAATTGTGTGCCAGTTGCTCAGCACCTGAATCGCAGTTCATACGACCGTAGGCATGCTGCGTTGGCCACAACGTCAAGGACCAGCCAGGGCTACTTCTTTCACTGCTGTCATAACTTCAAACTATTGCTGAATGAGTGGTCACTAAATGAGGACTGCTTGTACCTTATTATTTCTGCTAGATTGGGCCAATGTGAACCACTAGGAATAATAGTTCATGCACTTACCGAAACGTGTTAGGAACCCAATGCAGAAAATAGCAATAGCACTTAGACTTATATACCGCTCCATAGTGCTTTTACAGCCCTCTAAGCGGCTCGCAGAGTCAGCATATTGCTCTCAACAATCATTTACTGATCTTGGAAGGATGGAAGGCTGAGTCAACCTTGAGCCGGGCAGGATCGAACTCCTGGCAGTGGGCAGAGTTAGCCTGCAGTACCGCATTCTAACCACTGCGCCACCATGACTCAGCACAAAAAAAAAAAATCACACATCAGCCTATTTCTGAGAAGATTTCTGAGTTCTGGAGACAAATTGCACCATTTTGCACCTCTTGTTTATTTATTTCAATTCCTTTGGCCACCCACCTTAGTCAATGACTTTATAAATGAAGAAAGATAAAGGTGTTTTAATTCAGCGTTCCCTAACTTAGATCAGCGGTTCTCAACCTATGGGTCGCGACCCCATTTGGGGTCGATCGACCATTTCACGGGGGTCGCCAAGCAAAGCTGTCCGCCATTTTTTTTGTCCGCCATTTTGTTTCCCCTTTTCCGGCGGGTGCCTTACCTCCCTTGGGCTGGGCCAGCTGGTGGTCGGCCTGCTCCGTCTCTGCCGCTTGCCAGCTACGCCTCGGCCGGCCCAGGGGGCGGAACCATGCATGCGCAGCGCTCCCGGGCAGGGAAAGTCCTCGACTTACGACCGGTTGGGTAGTCCTCGACCTACGACCGGTTTAGTCCTCGATTTACGACCGGTTTAGTCCTCGACTTACGACCGGTTGGGGGTCGCGGCATTAAAAAGGTTGAGAACCACTGATTTAGATGGATTGAGTTACAATTCCCTTGCAATGAAAGCCATCCTGGTTGGGAAGCGGGAGCATTGTAGTTCTCTGTAAGTCTCTCATACAGTATACCCAAGATTATCTGCAAACCTTGGGATGATGGGAATGAGAGATTGCTACAGGATTCCTAAGGATGCATCCCAAGGCCAGTTGCCCCAGTCAGATCTTTTTGTTGGCTTATAGATAGAAGTCAAACTTTCAGGTGGTTTTTTTCCCAATTTCTACCCTATCCCCACATCCTTCTTTTTTTCCCAGCGTTTACATTCCAGTCAGTTTCAATTAGAAGTTATATGTGGTTGTCTCCTGATCATTTTCTGGACTTATTGGGGGGAAAAAGATGACATCAGCAATTAGTGTGTCAGTCTAATATTTCTGCTAGCTTTTCTTCCCTGGATTGTGAGAAGAGGGCCTAAATTTCTAAGATCATTCCCCCCTATGTCTATGTGTCTCTCCAGAATCCTCCACAGAAAATCGAGAGATTTTTTTTCTTGATCCTGGCCCGTGGATCAGGGGAGTCAATGGAGCCCTGGCCCCGCATCACCCAGCCTGTGCTGTGCCGCAAACGCCACGTCCACGTGCACCTGTGTTGTGCTGATGGCACCCTTCAGCATGCTATTGTGACTTCAAAGAAACATAGCAGGTAATCAGTTCCCCCTTGAGGCTATGGCTCCCTGGATCAAGGATTAAGAATGAGGCCTGTGCCCATGAATGTAGTCCCGGGGTCATCACCTGTCTTTACTTCTTGCAGGGATCTCTATCGATGTGTCCGGAACAGTAATTGTGGAGATCGTCTTCCTATTTCGACTCCAGAAACCGAATCCATTTTGGAGGACAAATCAACCCTCGAAGACCAGATAAACGCTTCTCAAAAAGTTAAAACTGCTCCTTGCCAGGATCAGAATGAATGAGATCCCTTCCGGCATACTTGTAAGGATTCCTTTTGGTATTCAGACCGGATGTCTATCTCAGATTGCTGATTTCCAGAATCTAAATTCCTTATGCGGTTTGGAGCTGTAGAGCCAAGTTGGTTAAGCTTTCTGCTTGGCAGTGCATGTATAATCCAGAGGATCAAACGGTGGTACCCCTCAACCGGGGTTCCATGGATAATGCTGATTTTCGTGGAACAACTTCAGCCAGTATCAGATGCAGTGAATTTAATTCAGCTGTTTTTCTCTTGGAAATAATAGCAAACCAATTCGGATCTCCAGGAATTTAATTAGTTGTGATGATGATGGTGGGCAGTTTGAACATTCTCACAAGGCACAGAGACAAACCCTTTGGTCGACTTCGTCAGTCTTGTGGTCTACAAAGAATTTGGATTACAGATTCCATCTCCAGTCCTTGGCTATGAGAGTTTGTTGGGCCTGACAAAGGCTTGGCGAGCACGAGGGTGCCAGAGTCTACACTGCATATACCTCTTTCTGGATTATTCCATTTGGATTGAAAAATGGGCTGTTTAAATCTTCCCATCCTTTAAAACATCATCTGTAAGATGAATTGAAGGTGATAAAAATTAGCTTATTACTTTTGCATACAGTAGGAGTGTGTTACACAAGAAATGCAGTAACACTCCCTTCCGGAGAAGAAGTAAAGGCCAAAATTATATGTGTCAGCGTGATATTTTTCTGTTCTGACACTTGGGTGCCCTGAAACTCACAAATATGTCTCCTACCTAATTCTGGATTACATGGAAAGGTTGATGAGCAGTTTCAAAAGCATGGGTTGGATGTTGTGGTTCCTTCCTTGTTCTGCCTTCCTAAGCGTTTGGCTAAAGAAGGGCACAAATGTTTTCTAACATTTTTTTAAAGAAGGCTTTAGTAGTGTGCGTTCAAATAAATTGGCTTGGAGATCCTGAGTGGAGAGGAAGTGGGAGGCAGTTTTGGCTTCAGGCTGATGCAAAAGGGTGTGTGCTTATGACCACTTAATCCCAGCTCTGAAAAAGATGCTTAAGTAGGTTGAAATTGGAGAAGGAATCATATAGGAGGGATCCTGGGATTTAGTGGGTTTGGGATTGGTTACTTGAGGCATGCACCCAGAGGTCTATTTGGTGTTGTTAATACCAGTGATATTAACAAAGGAAATTGTGGATATTTTGCTGCCCCAGCAACTCATTATTATTGGTGCCGTACTTATAATTTTTATTACTCTGTTTCCTTCCATGTACATCAAGAGCTGCTGCACCAGAGACTGATTCCTTGTGTGTCTAATCGCACGTGGCCAAATTATTCCATTCTATATTCTGTTCTGCCTAGCTCAGGGGTAGGCCACCTTGGCTCTTTTATGACTCGTGGACTTCAACTCCCAGAATTCCTGAGCCAGCATGGCTCAGCTTGGAAACTTCTCCCTTTCCCCTCAGCATGGCTGGCTCAGGAATTCTGGGAATTGAAGTCCACGAGTCATAAAAGAGCCAAGGTTGCCTACCCCCGGCCTAGCTGGTTGAATCTTTCTGTCTCCAGTGGAGATGGTGCCCTTGGCTTCTCTTCTAGGGACACCTCTATTGCCTTCAGAGTACATCAGAAATCCGGCCTCCTGTTTTGCAATGAGGAACCTGGGTGATCTTTTGGTTGGGCCACCAAAATGCTCTATTCAACTTTTTCTCTCTCTTCCCCTCCGATCTCCTAGCCACACAAATCTCTAGTAATCCCTGCCTGAGTCTGGTTCTTATCCACTGTTCTTGAAGGGAGAAATTAGAGGTCCAGTTTCTTAATCAGGAGAGGAGTTCAGTTCTCAGAATTGCTGGCTTCAGGATCTCTTGCTGGTTGGGGAATTCTGGGAAGCTGAAGTCCACACATCTTAGATGTTGCCAAGCTTGAAAAGTTGCCAGTCTAGGGAGCATTTGATGCTTGACTGGATTACATTGGTGGTCTATCTCAGGGCTTTTCAACCTTTTCACCCATGGTACCACTTTTAGGATATGGCAACATCCGAGTACCACCAGTCGCCTAGCAAGGTGTCAAAAACTTGATGACCAAAAATAAAAAAAGGAAAAAAGTATAGGTAGTCCTCGACTTACAACAGTTCGCTTAGTGACTGTTCAAAGTTACAATGGCACTGAAAAAAGTGCCCCCCAAGCCACAGCCGAGCAAGACACCGGCCTGCCTGCCCGGCCGCGCTCTTCCTCCTCCGAGGTTTTCATTGTTGTGAGCATTTCTGTTTAGGATTGGCAGCGGGGGTGGGGTGGGGGGTGTTTGGTTTTTATTCCCCCCGTCTGCTGGGTGGTTGCAGCAGGTTTTGGTCACTTCACATGACCCTGGGACACTGTGACCGTCATAAATATGAATCAGTTGCCAGGCATCTGAATGTAAATCACAAGACCCAGGAGATGCTGCAACATTCCAGCTGATCAGCGCTTCTTCTGGGCTCAGCAGAAGCACCAAGATCAGCGCCGAGCTTCCACTGGTGCTTCCACTGAACCCTGACAGTCCCGAAGAAGTGCCGATCAGCTGGAAAGCGGCACTGATCCTGGTGCTTCCGCTGAGCCCTGACAGCCCTGCAGCTCCAGCCATCTCTTGCTCAGGCTTGTGCGGTGCTGCCACCGGTTCAGCTCATTCCCCTCCCCCGCTACCACTTTTCTAGGATGGTCGCGTACCACCTGCCAGGTGCCAATGTACCACAGGTGGTACCCGTACCACTGGTTGAAAAGCCTTGGTCTGTCTCACCCAGTGTTTTGTTTTTTTTTGTTTTTTTTTACCTAGGCAATTCAAATTCCAGTTAGCTATTGAGTGTGTATCTGGAGACCTGTTTCAAGTATTTGATGGCGTACTGTAGGGCAAAAAAAAGAGAAACTGGGCTAAAAAAATATTTAAAACTAATTGACCTGGGTTAAATGAAGCTAATATTAGCCTCTTTTTCTTTTGCATCCTTTTGGTCACAACTATTAATATTTGATAGCACTTAAAGGACTTTGGGGGGGGAATTATTTAATTGGAATCTGCCCCCCCATCAATCCTGAGATTTTTCCCCAGAGTCCTGAGTTAGAATGGCGCATAACAGCCATCAAACAGAAAAGAAAGAGCATCCACTGTGCACATGTCCAGTAGTATCTTGACCCCAATTAATTATCCATTAAAAGTCTGCTAATACGTTGCTGACTTTGATAAATACCAAAACTTATCAGCAGTTACAGTTGCGGTGTATACATTAGCCTGAAACTTGGCCACTGGACTAGAGCTGTGTGGTTGTTGATCAGACAAAAGGTAAAGTACATACCATTTAATTGCTTTGCCGAGTGTGATCTTTAAAATGGGCGTGATAAAGTTAGAGCAGATATCTCTGAGGGGGCTAGTGGGGAAAAAAAAACAACCCCTGACTTTTCAGTCTTCTGGGTGAGAGGACAGTTACATTAAAGGACAATGTTGTAGCCCCTGAAGGCAAGGAATTTAGTGGGGTCCTAAAAGACCTGCATGTGTCAATGCTCAGTAGGGCTTGGGGAAGTAGCTCTGTCCTAGGTTTGAAGAAGGAATGATTTGCTACGAGAGCAACTTGTAATACCACTTTACAATGCCTTGGTAAGGCCACACTTGGAATACTGCATCCAGTTTTGATCACCGCGCTGTAAAAAAGATGTTGAGACTCTAGAAAGAGTACAGAGAAGAGCAACAAAGATGATCAGGGGACTGGAGGCTAAAACATATAAGGAATGGTTGCTGGAATTGGGTATGTCTAGTTTAACAAAGAGAAGGACGAGGGGGGACATGATAGCAGTGTTCCAATATCTCAGGGGCTGCCACAAAGAAGAGGGAGTCAAGCTATTCTCCAAAGCGCCTGAAGGCAGGACAAGAAGCAACGGATGGAAACTAATTAAGGAAAGAAGCAACCTAGAACTAAGGAGAAACTTCCTGACAGTTAGAACAATTAACCAGTGGAACAACCTGCCTCCAGAAGCGGTGAATGCGCCAACACTGGAAGTTTTTAAGAAGAGACTGGACAGCCATTTGTCCAAAATGGTATAGGGTTTCCTGCCTGAGCAGGGGGTTGGACTAGATGACCTCCAATATCCCTTCCAACTTTATCATCATTAAATAGAGATTAGATTTTTTTAAAAAGCCCCAAATTATATGGGGAGAAATTTAAAACATCCACTGATGATGCTTTTTCTGGGAGAAAGGGGAAGAACCCAGCTAATTTTCCAATTAGATCCCCATAAGGGTGAAAGTTTTACCTTTTTTTCCCCACCCACAACACCTCAAAACAGCCAACCCATTCATACCTTTTTGGGAGAAAGAGCAGAAAAGAGAAAAGGACAACATACCAGTCTCCCATTGGCCCATCAGTGAACCGACACAGAATTTGGTTGAACCAGAACAAAATTACTGAAAGCAAAGCAAAGTCATCTTTCTAGAATGTCAGCATACTGGCATGACATGACTGAAAAATGATGCTAGACGAGTCTTTTCCCAACTTCAGCAACTTGAAGATGTGTGGACTTCAGTTCCCAGAATTCCCCAGCCAGCATGCTGGGTTTCTATAGGAGTTGAAATCTGTATCTGTTGAAACACTACTAACCTACGCCTTGTGCTTGGGGTGTGTGTTTTGCTGTCCATTTTGGAAAGTGTCTTCTGTCTTTTGTTGGCAAACATTTATTTGGAAGATACACTGCTGTTTTTCTGTAGATGAATTGTGAAGGTGTTTGCATTGCAATAACAATTTCGTAAAACAGGTTTGAAAAACACAGCGTCTTTTTTTTTTTATGCGAACAATTCAAAGTTGTTGGTTTTTTTTACTGTCTGTGTGCAAATATTACGTTCCAAAGGCCACACTTGCTACCTGAAGAACTGTGGAGCAAAGTAGGGGTAATTTTTAATAGTAAACTCTGTAAACTCTTATCGCAAAGGTGCTATACCTTTTATGTTTATTCTGACGTATGCCCAGAAGGCTATATATTATTTAATAAATGAGGCCATGCAGGTTGTTGCTGTCATTATCTTAAAAAGAGGCAGCTTTGGTATGAGTCCTAATGCTGATGGATTTTATGCTGGTGGAGCAGGTTGGTTTTCCCTTGAATTAAGAGGCAAGGGTCAAGCTTGAAGCTGTAATCCTGATATAGTTCTGCATTAATATAGTAATAGAGTTCTGTTTGCAGCCCATAAAACCAAAAGATTGGTTCTAAAAAAAAGTGACTACAGGTGGTCCTCAACTTACCACCACAATTGAGCCCAACATTTATGTTGCTAAGTGTTCTGTCCCAGCCTACAAGAGTCCTTGTTATGCTCACAAGGAGAAACCCTTCTTCCAACAAGCAGGCAGAAACCACAAGAAAAAAACCAACCCCTTTTTATCCTCACAGACCTGAGTCAATGTCCAAGGCAAACAAACACAGTCCACAGAAACTTGCTCCTCAACATGAACAGTTGCCTTCAGCAACCAGCACCTCCCACACCTTCCCTTTTATAATTCAGCCAAGGCGTGGCTTCCTAATCCCTTCTCCTTTGCCTTTGGAGCCGCCCCATTGAATTCCTCTGTTCTACTCACTTCTCTTGCCTGCGCCTTCGTGCATCCTGGATGTTTCCCAACTGTTCTTCACCACTGTTCAACTCAGGCTCCCAGCACAGCTGTGTCTCAGCTTGAGCGCGAGTAGAGGGGCCAGGCTCCTCGTCCAACTGTAAGTCT